GTTCTTGTTTGCAGACCTGCTGTTGTGCTGTATCAACTGTTCATGCCAAAGTAATCACTTACCATGTGTGATGCTCTCCCCCTGATTAATCTGTGCAAATAGTGCTGAGCGTGAGGCAGACTCATCAGAGCCTGAGCTGGTGGGGACTGGTGGGGGAGGTGGGCCTGGTGGCGGGGGAGGAGGACCCGATCCAGCAGAGGGTCCAGATGGCAATCCACTCAGTTCTTTTGCCAAAGGCCCCTGTAACAATAAGTGCGGATAATACAGCCACCCTCTGTACCATTCCCAGGAGGGCCCTACATGTCCAGTGTACATGGAGTCCCCACTATAACTGCTGAGGCCATGATTAATGCTCCCTACCCATCCCCAAGTTGGCTTTATTCCTTCTCACAATTTCCCAAGGATCCAACTGTCAGCTCCATTTCTCAACCTTCACATTTTTCCTTTGGCCTCACCTGATTCCAGCTCTAAATCCTTATTTCCAAAAATCTATTTGACAGCTTCTTTAGTGTGTTACCAACAACTCAGACTCAACAAGTTCAAAACTGAAGTCATCACCTCCTGCCTGCTCGCCTACTTGTACAATCATTCCCATGTCCCTGTTTCAGTGAAAGGTGTTACCATCCAAGCTTGACTATTCAATCTTGTGTGAGGCTTCCAACACCCTCACCCCCTTAAGTCTTACCTTGCTGCTATTGCCTGCAAATTCTTTTCTACCAGACCCTAGCACAATGGCCATTTCCATTATTTCAGCATGAGCCCTTATCCCTAACCTATACACTGAAGCTCTTTTTTAAAGACAAATCTCATCGCTATCACTCCCTTGCTCAAATACTGAGTTCACAAGTCTCAGCCTACCTTCCTTTCCAGCCTTCTCTCCTAAAAATCTCTAACCATCTCCCCTTACTGAAGCCAGAGATGACCAATCTCTCTACATTCACTCTGCATTTACTTTATTTATGCTGTGCCTTTTGTTAGTATCCCCATTTCTCCCACTTCTTTCAAGTCTCAGATCAGAGTACACCACTTCAAAGCAAAATCTCTCCCAGTGAGAATCACTCTTCTCTTCCTCATACTCTGTAGTCTGTATCTTTATTATAGCATTTAGCTTGGTGAGTTGTACTGTGTTTTTTGTATCTATATTTTTAAGTTCTTTGAGGGCTAGAATAGTATAACTCATTTATCTGCATCTCCCCTCCAGTACTAATCACTGTCCCTGACCCATGTTTACTGAAATTGAATAGAATCACATATTCCTTCTCCTCTGTCCCTTGCTTTCTTTATTCTCTTCTTTTTTTCCCATTCCTTCTCCTCCCTTTCTTTCTGCCCGCCACTGTAAAAACTAGCATTTCTTCATGGACCTCAGTGGTGCTAAAGTCTAAGAAAACTGTAGACCCCACCCTGCAGGGATAAATGGAGGGAGGAAGGGAGGGAAAGGAGGAGGAAGGACTCACTGACCGTTTTGCTCCAAGCCAGTCCGGTGGTATGGTACTCCTTAATGTAAGCCTGCAGCTCTGTCCATATACTCAAGTAAGCTTTGACCCAGTCCACATGCTTCTTATCCCTGGGAGAATTAAAGAACTCATTACAAGTGGTCAGGGTATATCACAATTGCAATTCCAGAACCCCTCCCTGTGAGCTCAAATCCTCCACCTATGGTGTTTCTTAGGCTCTGCTCAATGGCAGCTTTTCTATCATCACTGAGCTGCTTTTTTTTTAAACTTAATCTATTACCCTAATTAGACCAAACTCCAGTAAGATAGGGACTCTGGACTATATCTCTTCCTATCTCTCCTAGCTGTGTTTCTCAAACTATTTTTTAAGTAGCAAAACCATTATTTCAAAGTAGAACCTAATACATAAAACTGATAAAAGCAGACATTCTGTGTATGATGCCACGGGAGAGAGGAGAGCTCTTGAACATCACTGTGCAACTCTAGGATGCCAAGAAACTCAACTGCCTTATAAGACAGTGCCTTGTGTCAAAATATGCCTTCCCCCCAAAAAAGTAAAAATAAAAAACTTCCTTTAGAAGGAAATAATCCACATTAAATTATAGAAATAGCACAGCACTATGGTTCAAATCCCCTCTCTTCTTACATTTTAGCTGGAAGACTTTAAGGTTATTTTCCCTAAGACCTAGTTTCTTCAGCTGTAAAATGACAGGGTGATGATGGGGTATATTCGAAACACTGTCATGCTTAATTCCAGGTTGCTGGAAGGATCACAGAAGAGTCCGGTGTTTTGAGACACATTTCACACACGGGAAGGCTTATTCCTTGCAGAGAAGTTACTCAACAAATGTTTGTTGACTGACGATGGACAGAAGAAAAGAAGGGTTTCGGTAGCTATGCAACTTAATAATTGCTGCCTGCAATCACTCCAGCTCAAATCAGCAATGAAGTCAATTAGGACTGGTAGACATACATGGTTAGACATACAGTGATGCCCCTTACTTAATAGGCATTGGCTGGGCAGCCTTACTCTCACTTTGACTGCACAAATACTCAAGGTAATTTTCTAGTAAGTCCTACTGAATCCTTTGTCATTGGGCAGAGAGAAATTCTCAACAGAAGAACAAAATCTTGCATAAGCAGGCAAATTAAAGGGCATTAGTTCATGTTACCTCCAGAAAAACCTCCTAAACCCGGAAGAGTAGGATTAGAAGACTAAAACCATGGAGGGAAAGCAGAAGCAGAAACACTTCCTTTTTGCAAATACCGCTTCTATGAAACAGTACCTACACCAAGCTCTCAAGAAAGCAGCCCTGAGACAGAACCAACACAATGGCCAAGGGCAGCCTTAATTCACCCCAAAGTTCTACTCCAGCAAGTAACCAGTTGGGTTTGTGCTTTACGCCTCAAGGAAAGGCTGGACTTACACATCTTTGTACTCCTTAAGGACTCGGTTTGTATAAAACATGGCAGCATCATTCATTTCTTTCACATAGGGGCCAGGCTTGGGAGCCTAGAGAGACAGAAGCTGTCAGTGACTCAGAACCTCTCCACCCATTATCTCATTACCTCTTTCAGTCTATCCCTTCCCTGCCCAGGAAACTGCGCTGCTCACCATAGCCACCCAACCCAGGGCCTGGATACTTTCGCTGACAGCTGACAGGTGATTGAACAACTTGCTGCCTCGGTTCTTCTCCCGAAAGGTTATCACTTCTTGGATCTGCTCTGAGATGGGTGCCAACAAATCAGAAAGCTTATTCTAGAAAAAGATGCAGGAAAAGATCCAAGTTAGAGTCTTTCTACAAAAGCAAGGCTTTGTATGTTGGTCAACCCTGATCCTGAAGGCAAGAATCCTTTACAGACCACAATGAGCACCCACATAAACTGTATTAATCCTGCCCTGATTCATATGGCTAAAATACTGCTCATCGTCTCCCTCTCCTCACAGAGTTCCAACTTCTCAGGCTGGATTTTGTGGTTCTTCACGATCAGGACCCATATGCCAGCTATACCACAAAATCCTACCATTTCAGCTATTTGCCTCTTTTCTGTCCCACTAAGAGGAGATACTAGTTCATTTCTATGCCTTCACTCATGACGTTCTTTCTTTTCCACCTAGCCAAATGTTCCTCGTGCTTCATGAGAACAGCCCTCTGACCCCAGCTGCACCAGTCTCCTACAGAATTTATCAGCATAACCAATTATGGCACCTTATCACTTACTATTAATAGACACATGCAGATATGTTTTTCTTTCTCATTAATTCTTCAAAGACAAAGGCTTTATCTTAGATCTCTTCTATCATCATTATAACCCTCAATGCATTGCTAGCCATACAGCAGCTGCTAAGTAGAGATCTGATGAATCAAATGCAACTATGAGGTTTGGTATTCAAGCAGGCAGCTTAGCAAAATGGATGAATTTTGTGTTTCTGTGTTTTCGTCTTTCCTCCAAAGCTTAGTTTCCTGAACATCTCAATTCTCATGTCTTAGCATGAAAACAGTCTAAAGCAGGAGCCAGCAAACTTTCTCTGTAAAGAACCTGACAGTAAATATTTGTTCCAAAAGCACTTCATTTACAAAAATAAGTGGCAGGCCAGAATTGGCCTGCAGGCTGCACTTTGCCAACCCCTGATCTAAAGCAAGGAAAATGTAACAGTGTCTCAGCTGCTTAATTTGTTGTAGAAAGTGTGGACTTGGAGAAAAGGTTTAGACAAAAAGCTGTAACCATTCAGCACAGATTAAGAATTAGAATCTAATATATTTAATGTTATCTTGCACTATTTTTACATTATTTAGGCATGCCAAGGGGTGAGTGTTTTAATACAGCATTAGTAGGAAGACTTGCTTTATTACCCCTCTATGCCTAGGAAAGCCAAATAAAAAAGAAACAAAACTAAAAATCTTTCACCCCAAGAAAAACCTAAATTTTCTCTAATTCAACTTTTCACACTTTGCTGTATAAAATTTTGAGGTAGGAGTAAAGTTAAAGGGAGATCCCCCAACCAGTGAGGGGAGAAGCAGTACTTCAGGAGTTTTAGGATCTACACATCAGCAATGCTAAATCCCACCCACAGTGAAACAAGAGAACCATCTCTAAAGGGCTTAGGGACACTATGATGAATTTGGGCTAAGCCAAGAGGCTAAAAGAAGCTGTCTATTGAGAGAAGCAGCAAAGTCCCAGGGGTAACTACAGTTCTAAGCAAAATGACAGGGGGAAAGAAAAAAATGCAGGCAAAACCAATAAATACTCAATGGCACATTCCCATAATGGCACTTTAAGTCTGACTCTATCTCTAGGACTTGGTGTGAACATACATTATCATGAGCCTGTTAGGTATACTTTAGCACGTTGTGACAGCTTAGCAAAAATCTCTCAATTTGGCCTGAGCGTCAAATCAAAACTAAATCAACTAGCAGTGAACTTACGCCTGCTGGCTGCTGGCACTGAGAAGCTGTAACCAAGAGAGCTCGCTCCAACTTCAGACCCGTGTGGACCATCTCTGCCTGCCGAGAAGAAGAATCAGCTATAGATGACACATTATAACTGGAGAGGTCCTGATAAGGAATAACCCGAATCCTCCACTTTCATGTACTCTGGTAGCAACCAGGGCACTTCATGTTGTTTTCCTCATATATTCTAGATTCAAGGGAATGATAGCAGAATTACATATACTTCTGTTCCTGTAGGAACTTGTCAAGGACACATATCCAGAGTTGGAAATGAAGATAATCAAGGCTAGCCTTGGGTGAAGTCAAGTTAACAACTACACATGCAGCATGATATGATGTGTGCTGAAAAATTCCTCCTATCTCACATCACCAAAAAAACCTTTTCTCTCAAAAATTGGAGGTAGGGGGCCGACCCGTGGCACACCCGGGAGAGTGCAGTGCTGGGAGCGCAGCAGTGCTCCCGCCACGGGTTCAGATCCTATATAGGGATGGCCGGTGTGCTCACTGGCTGAGCGCGGTGCAGACGACACCAAGCCAAGGGTTGCGATCCTCTTACCGGTCACAAAAAAGACAATAAAAAAAAAACTGGAGGTAGGAGTAAGGGCAAAGATGCAAATTTATGCCAAAAATTCTCAATGTATTTATTCCTTTAGGTCAAATCTATTTCTCAAATGCTGATTCGTGAACCATTAGTAGAAAATTAATTAAATCAATTTAATAAGCCATAATCAGCACTTTATAAAGTAAAACAGAATAGAACAAAAGTATGAGTGCAGTGCACCAGTTTGAAATTATTTCCAAATAAAAAGTCAAAAAAGAAAAGAGTGCAGAATAAGTAATATAAGCACTGTTTTGTGAAACTTTTATCTAGTTACAAATACGCTGTTTCTTACTGAGGATCATAGCAAAAGAGTTTAAGAGACATGAGGCTATACGTACTATTATAATATAAAAATTCAAAGAAAATATTTTTTCTGGGCTTGCATTCTTAAAATATGAAAGTGATAAATGCTTAAATTTTTTATCAAATGTTACAGAGCTGTATAAAGTAAAAATGCAAGCCCCCACACCCCTGATGAAGTCCCAGTCCCACTCCCTAGAGCTAGCACCACTGCCAACAGATGGTATAGGAAAGGCTCAAAATAGATCTTCCAAAGGCTAAGCAACAGTCTTGCTAAAGGGTTTAGGTAAGGAAGATCCTATACATGGCTACTGTTTATAAAGGATCATTCTGTGGGTTAGCAGAAGTTTTGAGTCCCAAAGTGAGAGACAAAATGTATATGTGAGTGTGGGGTGGTGGTGGTGACGATGTAGAAGATAGCACATGAAGGGAGGTGGGTAGAGAGGCACCTGTCATTACCTACTTCATATTTTTGCTGTGGGCTAAGTGTGAAAATAACCTACATTAGCATAGCTAATAACTATAAAGCACAGTGCTATAAATGCTAAGTCATGATAATGGTTCCTTTGAATAAGCCACCCTAGGCTTAGTTATATAGTATGCTGGGATCAGACTGGTAGCATATTCTTCACTACAAAGATTAACAAAGCCATATTTTATGCATTAAGCAAGCTTTCTATATAAAAGCCCACAGAGAATATGTGATAAAAGCAGGGGGCCTAGAAAAATATGAGGAATCATTTCTGTGCCTGGACTGAACTCCTCAGGTAGAGGAGAAGGAACCATCCTTAAACTAAGGATGAGTGGGATTTGAAGAAATCCACCAGTCCTACAAAGAGGAGAAAAAAGGCAAAACATCCTTACATGTCTCTGAACGTCTCCCCCAATCTCTTTACTGATCTTCAAGTATTCTGCCACAGGACTGGCAAGCAGTGAGTCAAATGCTTGCACATATGGGGCTGCTCCTGCTGAAGAAAGACACACCACAAAGAATCAGTCATGCATTAGAAGGATGTTTCTTTAAAATATACTTCCATGTGAAAATGGGGAGGCAAGGTAATATAGTAAACAGAATACTGGAACAGGAGTCAGGAAATCTGGGTTCTAGTTCCAATACTACCACTAACTGGTTGTGTGACCCCAAGTCCCTTTTCCTCACTGAGCTTAATTTTCTTTATCTATCAAATAAAAATAAACAAATGATCCCCCAAGGTTCCTTTTAGCTCTAACATTGTTTCAATTGGTGTATGTATGAAATGGCCAATTTGCCAATCACTTGGAGAAAGGAAATTTTAATGTCACTTGCTATCTGACTTACACTCAAGTCAGTCTGCTAAAGAAAGAACAGGAAATTTCACACAAGCAGGAAGTTCTTGTGTTAAAATAACTTAACCACAGGCCTCCCTGCACAAAGTCACTTCCTCCCTGATCTGTTCACAGCAATATGAATTACAGATGAACTTTCTAGACTGTATTTTGGGAAGTTAGCTCCAAAGGAGAAAATTCACTGTGATTAAAAAATTTTAGGCCAAGACACACAAAACATTCTGCTGGGCTGTGGACTGCTTACCTTTTGAAGGACTGTCTCCATACCCACGGTACATGTCAGAGGTATGGGATACTGCCTCCAGGCGGCCCACTGCCCTCTCCAATCTTTCTACCAGATTTTGCATGTCAGCCATAATGTATCACCTGTTGAAACAGATCAAATGTCATTTGTTATTTTAATATTACATATCACCTACAGAGAAAAAACAGAATACTCCTAGGGGTGAAAAGAATGCCAATTCTGAGGAACAGAACAATTTAATAATAAAATAAGATGGAAAAGCAGTCTAGCATATTTGCAAAATCATAAAGACCTCATTAAGCAAGAGAACTACACAGGAAAAGGTGTTCAGTAAAACAAATGCTTATTCATTCAAATACTTATTGAATATTTACTATGATACTACCAAATACTTGTATAGGAATTTAGAATTTACAAAGTATAATAACATATATAATCTCAGCTTGCCTCCCAACAACTATTCAAGAATGGAAGGATAATTAATACACTACTAGAAGAAGAAAACTTAATTTCAGTGAAGTTAAATGACTTGCCTACGGTCACATAGTTAGTTAACCGAGAAACCAGTATTCAATTCAACTCTTCTGGCTCTAAGTTCATTGTGGCTTTATTCCCACAACATTCTGCTGCCTGTGCTGCCTGCATGTGGAATGCCCCAAACCAGAATGAACAGGATATTTACCCTGCCCTCAATAACTTATAGTTTAATAGAGGAGACTTAACATAAGCACTAGCAACTATAAACAAATAGAAAAAAATTTTAAGGTGACATAAGAAAGTTGCTGATAGAGTGGCAAGGGATTTCAGAGGGGAAGAGTGTATCAGATAAAAATATCATGGAGAATCTGCCATTTGAGCCAGGCTTCAAATGAGGATAGGCAGAGTCTGAACATGCAGTAGGGAAGTAAACTAGACATATTCAAAAGAACTTATTACAGATATTTCATAAGTACTAACTTAACTGAACTAGCCTCATTCGATGTCTAATGTCCTAAAGAAATTAAGCTCTAAGAGAGAAAGGACCTTATCTAACTTGTTCCTTATTATACTTTACCATCTAGACCACCACCTGGCAGATAAATGTTCAATAAATATTTATGAAGTTAATGAAACTGAAGAGTACAGTATTCCAAAACTCCAGAGGGACAAGGATTCTGAAAGTTGTTCATACTATACACGTAAGTGTAAAATGTTATCAATACACATCTACATAAAGTACTTGAGACCACAGTGATCCATCTCATAAAAATCAGTCAGTGAGGGGCCGGCCCAGTGGCGCACTGCTACAGCGCGCCACTTGGGAGCGTGGCGTCGCTCCCGCCGAGGGTTCGGATCCCACATACAGACCAGTTCCCGCTCACTGGCTGAGCAAGGTGTGGGCGCAACACCTAGGGTTGCAATCCCGTTGCCGGTCCCGGTCCGGTACGGGCGCGACACTGAGGGTTGCGATCCCTTGCCGGACAGGAAAAAAGACAAAAAGGAAAAAAAAAAAAAAAGTCAGTGAAATTTCAATCAAAGCCCTGATTTGAAAAGATTCCATTACATCAAAGCATTAATTAGTTCAGGTAACTGAAGCCAAATGAACTCAACTCTCTTGATGCTGCCTAAAATGACCACAGGAACCATGATTCCCCCAAACATGACGATATGACAGAACACCTCAACTTAACACACTATCGTCCCTCTAAAAAAGATAAACAATTCACAAGACAAAGTAAGGAAGACAATATAATCCCTGTCCATTCCTTTCTGTGTACAGACTCTGTTCTCTCTGGGCCTAGAAACTTGCCAGAGAATATTGTTTAAAGGAGAATCAAAGGAAAAAAATGAGAATGAGACTGAAATAAACCCTTCCATTCCCTGGCCTGGAGAAGTGGCAGCCTCCAGGTCTATGCTCTACTCACAAATGAAGCAGACTACAGCAGACTAGAAGCAGCCAATATATACTCTCCTGTATGTTATGACACCATCAAATGATATCTGAATTGCTGCCCTGTTCTATTTTGGATATTGGCCAGAGACAGACTTACATATAATCCACCACACTTTATAAATCCAGGGGGAGCAGACTAGAAGCAGCCAATATATACTCTCCCGTATGTTATGACACCATCAAATGATATCTGAATTGCTGCCCTGTTCCATTTTGGATATTGGCCAGAGACAGACTTACATATAATCCACCACACTTTATAAATCCAGGGGGAAAGGCAAGGAATGCAATAAACTCCCAAACTACCTTCCATGAATAGATACCACACAGTTCTGTTATTAAACATGTTCCTTCATACACAATGGATGCTACAGGTTGAAAGCAGTGTTAACATGAAAACATAGTACAAGTGTCTCTAACAGCTGCCAGGGTTGGAGATACTTACCAATCTTAAAAGCTAAGTAATATGGCTTCATGGGATTTTCCATACCTCACTTGTACTGCTAAACAAGCAGTTCTGCTGTCTGACTTGAGCAGAATTAAGTTACCATATATAGCTAATCTCATTCTACCACTAACCAAATATAGAACAGTATCTGGTTTTTCATTTTTGGTGGGGGTACAGTGAGATTTGAGATGTTATGGGAAAGAATGTCCAGAATTAAAGGGACTGAAAGTCACACCTTTTCTCATTCTCTATACAACCATACACTCTTCAGGTAGGTGATCATATCCACTCCCAAGCCTTTAACTACCTTAGTCACATTCTATTGGGATTAGCATTTTAGATCCAGCTTCGACATAGAAATCTCTACCTGGATATCCCAAAGGCACCTCAAATTTCAATGTCCAAAACATTTCAGAACTCATCATCTTTCCTAACATTGCCTCCCCATCCCCTATCCCCACTGTCTCTGTGATCCAGGACTACCAGCAATCACCTAATTAAGCTAGTAATCTGGAAACTATTAGACAGTATGACATAGTGGATAAGAGTGGTATTTAGATAAGTCAGATAGACTGGGGATTTGAACAACAGCACTCACTGGCTCTGTAACTATGAGCAATTACCAAACTTTCTGAGCCTCAGTTTCCTTATCTGTATAATAGGGACAACAATACAAAATCCAAAGGGCTTCAGTGAAAATAAATGAGGATATCCATGTAGAAGTGCTTGGCACAGACCTGCAAAATAGTAAGGATTCCGTAAACATGAACTAAATTATCTTCTTACTTACTCCCCCACATTTAATCAGTTATCAAAATCCACAGAATCTATCTCACATATCTCATGAATAGATGCCCCTTACTTCCATCCTGATTGATAAAAATTAAGTTATCAAAAAACTAAAAATAGAAAAAATTATTTTTGAAAAATAAAAAAAGATTAGGTCATCAAGACTTTGCCTAGATTACTGCAATAATATCCTAGCTAGTCCCCCCTAATTCCAGTAATACACTTTCTTCATCCATTCTCCATATAGCCAGAGTGATCCATCTCAAACACAAATGTAATTATGATATTAATACCATTCAATACTGCCCAGGGCATTCAGGGTAAAGTCCAAACAAGGGTTTCCATAATCTAGTCCCGGGCTTTATCTCCTACCACTCCCCAGTTTTATCTCTTGCTACACCTTTCCTCAGCATGCTACAGCAACCCAAGACTACTTGCATTTTCCAAAAAGAGCCATGTTTTCTCCCACTTCTGAGCCTTTATAATGCTATCCATTCTGCTTGGTTGCTTTCCCTTTCCAATCTGACCCCTCTCCAGAACGTCTGTAGTCCCAGCTAAGGTATCACCTCCCCAAGAAGCATTTCCAGTATGTGCTTCCACAACATTGTGAACTTATCTCTACCACAGCACTTAACACACTGGTTTAAAATCATTTATTTAATAGTCAACAGGCAATTAGCCACCCTAGGGCAGGGACCATGTTTTGCCTATGAAATTCAGTATTATAAATGTAGAAGGCACTAAAAATAGTAGGTTAATAAGGGTCCTTGAAGAATAAATAAATAAATAAACAAAGGGCCTTTATCCCTCTCTCCTAAACACAAGTCTGGCTGTCTTCTCTCTCTATCAAATCTGGGGAAAAGTGAGTTTTTTTCCCTTTTTTTATTTTAATTTTTTTGTCTGTCTGCTTTTGTAGGACCTTACAAACACTCCCATTTTTCAAATGAATGTTGGCTTCTCAGGCAGAAATCACACTGTTGTAGAGATCTTCAAACAAAGTTCCATAAGGGAAATAACCTTGCTTATTAAAATATATAATGTTAATTAAAAACAATAATCTCTTATAGTTGTAAATCTGTTTTTTGGGGGATGGGGGTTTGGCAGCTGGCCAGTAGAGGGATCAAACCCTGGACCTTGGTTTTACCAGCACCACACTCTAACCAACTGAGTTAACCAGCCAGCCCCCATAAGTCTCTTCTTTTGAGAAAAAATAGTTCTGTGAGGTATGTCATGCAGATGTAGATCCTCATTTTTAGAATGAAGGAACTGACACTCACAGAAGTTAAAAAGCTAGCCAAACATCATCAACCAGTGGGTAAGGAACCTAAGCACAATTATTCTGAATCCTAATCTGAGGCTTTTCCTACCATTCCTCAATGGCTTTTAAGCAATTAAGTGACTATGTGGTTCATCACAGCATCCAGCCCCCACTGTTTACTGAGCACAGCACTCTGGGTTCAAGGTCTCTTTATGGTGTCTTCATTTACATTATTAGCAGCTTTCAATTTCTCTGCTTTCCATTTTCTCCGTGGAGGCCAATTTTTTCTTCAATCACATTCAAGAGAAATGACACATATTTGGAAAGCAAATATTTAAAATAAGCCTTCTCCCAAAGAATATACAATTGTCAGAGCATAAAACTGTAGCTCTACCTAATCTTGCTCCTTGCCATTATATATAAACCTCCTTAAATAAATGTACAGATTCCCAACTACTTAAGCATTCACCATAAAATCTTCAAAAAGAAAGAGTTGGTCATAATTACTCAAGTCTAAATAAAACTAGGATTCAGGAAAACAAGGTGTGAGTCTCAATCTGCACGTATTAACTGTGTAACTTTGGGATGGTCACTTAATGGATTATAATCCTCACCTAGCACACAGAGATGTTAGGATCAAAGGAGTTGATTGCATAGATGAACAATCACTTTGGAAGCCTTAAAATGCAAATGA